GTTGCAGAATCTTTACTAAAAGAAAACGTTATAGCTTGCAGCATAGGGTTCTCTTTTGAACACATAGATTGTACAGATATCGTCAAAACCTTCCATACCTTAAATAAGAAAAAGACTGCAGATTTGTGGGGAAATTCTGTGTACATTGCCAGCTCTGTTATAGCTATTATAGCACCTCTATTAGCTCTAATTTTTAATAATTGTATCGACCGCGGTGTGTTTCCTGATCTTATGAAAAATAGTAAAATAACTCCGTTATTTAAATCAGGTAGTACTTCTGACCCCACTAACTTTAGACCTATTTCAGTACTACCTACATTTAGTAAAATTTTTGAAAAAATTATTCTAAATCAAATGCAAAGATTTTTTAATAGAAATAAATTGTTACATAGTAACCAGTTTGGTTTTACCAGGGGTCGTTCAACAACTGATGCCGGTGTTGAACTTCTTAATCACATATATGACGCGTGGGAGGACTCAAGCGACGCTTTGGGCATTTTTTGTGACTTATCCAAGGCGTTCGATTGTGTCCTTCATGATACATTGATCAGGAAGCTATCCCATTATGGAATAAGAGGTAAATCTCTGGATCTTCTTACCTCATACTTGAGTAACAGGATTCAGAGAGTCGAAATAAACGGAAAAGTCTCCACCGGGTCTGTTGTCAGGATGGGGGTTCCGCAGGGGTCAATTCTCGGCCCATTTTTGTTTCTTATATATATAAATGACTTACCTTACCTTGTAAGGGATAACCACGGGATAGTACTGTTTGCGGATGATACTTCGTTATTATTTAAACTTAAACGTAGACAATTAGTTATTAATAATGTGAACAGTGCTCTCTCGGAGATAGTACGCTGGTTCAATGCCAACAACCTATTACTAAATGGAACTAAAACTAAATGCATTAAATTTACAACACCAAATGTTGGACATGTGAAAACCAGCGTGCTCATTAAGGGTGAGGAGTTGAGCCCTGTAGATTCTACTGTCTTTTTAGGTATAACCCTAGACGCTAAGCTCCAGTGGGCTCCACATATAAATAAGTTATCGAAAAGGCTCAGTTCTGCAGCATATGCCGTTAAAAAAATTAGAAATCTAACCGATGTAGATACAGCGCGATTAGTATACTTTAGTTATTTTCATAGTGTTATGTCATATGGTATTCTCTTATGGGGGAATGCTGCTGACATTCAATCTATCTTTGTTCTGCAGAAGAGGGCCATTCGATCAATTTATAATCTTAGTCCGAGGTACTCTCTCAGGGAACTATTTAAAGAAATTAATATAATGACGGTTGCTTCTCAATACATTTATGAAAATTTAGTATATGCTCATAAAAACAAAAGTTTATTTAAAAAACATAGTGATATACATAATATAAACACGAGAAATAAAGACAAATATGTTGTTCCCACTACTAGACTAAAGAAAATAAGTGGTTCGTTTAGATGTCAGAGTATACGCTTTTACAATAAGATTCCCAGCCATATCCAAAATTTGAGTCTAAATAAATTTAAAAATGTCATTAAAGATAAATTTTATAGTAAAGCTTATTATAAAATAAAAGACTACCTAGATGATAGTCTGGCTTGGGAATAAGCTGCTGTAACGTCCACACAGGTCATGTTGACATGTTTGTAACATATAGTTACATTTCTTTTTTTATATGCAATTTGACATTATTGTTTTAATGTGACATTGTTTTTCATATGTTGTTCTAACTTGACATTTACTTTTTATTTAACAATTGTTAGTGCTAGGACCGTGCGAGACTTTGCCTCACCATTTCTTTTCTAATTACCCTTTTTCTGACAGTTTGAGTATTTGTGCGACCCACGCAAATGTTCTTTAGGTTGGTATTGTTCGTCGAATCAGTCAGCCTCACCTGTTAATTGAGCTGACTGTAAACCGACACATGCGTACTGCCTTCAGAACGGGTCCGCTCAAACTGTTGTGGTTCTTTCCTCAAAAGCCCACTACAGAAAGAACTGGCACGGTTCTCACACATAATCTGTTATACATATTGTCTGGACTTTAAAAGAGACAGACCTCTGAGTTTGTTTCGGCATTTCTTCTCAGAGTAGTCAGTTAGGAAATGTCGACCTCATCGTTCGCTTGATAAAATTGACGTGTAAAAGTGCTGCCTTGTAGCCTATTTGCAGAAATAAATTCACTTGTTTCACTTGTTTCACTTGGTTCAATAGACATGTCAATTTCTCACTAAAAGTACCCTTAACCGACGAGCATGCATGAAAAGATTGATGACTGTTGATGAAGCGAAAGAGGTATGTAGGAATCGTAGTAATTGGCGTTCCATAGTCTCTGCCTGCCCTCATGGGAGACAGGCATGAAGTTATGTATGTATGTATATTCCCCTGATGACGAGGAGAATATATTATAGTTAATTAATTATACGCGTGTTTTTAGATTTTGCACTGGCAGTCTCTCAGTTCACTTACTGACCCAAGTAATCAGCAAGCCGATTAAGTCATAAGTTCTTCCATCTGTGTTCTTTTTCCGAATTTTTTCTCCGTTAGAAATATAAGATAAACATCGATCAGTGTTGCTATTCAACAATAACCCTTATCATCATCGGTGATAAAACATAGGTACATACAAAGAAATCTTTATTATATCTGTGGGTACCTACATACGCCCATAGTAGACCAAAGATATTACTATTTTAGAGGGTATTGAAATACAATGAACAATGAAGAGGTGCACATTACGGCATTTAATGCCACTGTGTATATAACACCCACTTTTCACTATTTAAGTTAAGAGTCCCATGTAATATATTGCCTATTATACGGCTATTGCCATATACTGGGCACATTTATAGACTCCGTGCAACTACTGAGATTTTTTTAAAACCCAGTAATACTTTGCCTGGCCCGGAAATCGAACCCGAGACTCCTTGACGGTAGTCGCACTTGCGACCGCTCGGCCAATGAGGCAGTCTGAAATATAATTAAATCACCGAAATAAAAGGATGCCGCATGGCCCACTTCGCGGTTTCTGGTTGTAATTTTGGAGCATATACGCATTGTAGTTTATATACCAAATATAAAATATAATATCATTTTTAATTAATACACTAGATAAACGGTAATGTGACGTATTCCTGTTATGACGTCAGAGATGAGGTAAAAACAACAGATTACATCATATTCCCGCTAAACGACTGAACTGATTTACATAATTTTGGTACTGATATTTTTTATGAATCAATTTTAATGCGACAACACGGTTAGTGCGGTGCCTGGGCAACCGGCTGCCATGCAACGTGTCGCGGGTTCAATCCCTGCACGGAGCAACTCTTTGTGTGATGCACAAATTAAACTTGTATGTTTGTAAACGAACCCACGACATAGGAAAAAATCCTAGTGTGGGGCAACGTTTAAAAGAAAAGCATCGTCGTATGTTTAGAATAATAAAATTTAAACAAGGGGGAAAAACATTAATGGCACATGACTAACACTACTTAAATATTTTTATGAAATAGGACAGCCACCGAGCGCACGTATCACCTGATGGTAAGCAATCGTCACCGCCAATTATATAAGTAGATACTCACAACACCCGAGGAGTTACAAGTTGCGGGCCTTATGGTGATTTGTGAGGATGAGCCACCAGTAAACTCACCAGCGCAAGCATTGTTTCACGCCAGTTTAGCGAAGTGGTATCGCTTCGTTTGAGCTGGCTTATTCGTGTACAAGCATAGCCCTCCCTCATGCAATGCTACTGTCATTAATTTTCAATGAAACTTGTAAGCAGGGGAAACACCATGTTGGTTTAATATATAGGTATTTTCCCTAATTACATAATACATAGGTTATGTTGTTTCGTCTCCGTTTGACTTGTACGTATGTATTTTTTTATGGAATAGGAGGCAAACGATCAGACGAATGACCTGATGGTAAGTAATCAGTGCGGCCCATGGACACCCGCAACACCAGAGGAGTCACAGGTGCCTTGCCGGCCTTTTAAAAAGGAATACGCTCTTTTCTTCAAGGTTTGAAGATTTATATAAATGTGTTTGTGCGCGATTATCTCATTATTAGCTAAACCGTTTTTGATGAGATTTTCCGAAAAGTGTTTATTACACTTTTGAGAAGATTTTAATGTATTAACCGACCTAAAAAAGTTGAGGGTTGAAGTCGGTTTTTTAAAGGTAGTTTATGAAAGTATTATTTTCTTATAAATAAACATG